GAAAACATGTATATTCAATCAGAAACATTTATTCCAATGCATGTGAACAATATTGTATATGAAAATATGAGCTGCAAATAAAGTGAAAAATTTTCGAGTTTTCGAATTGTGCAAAACCCCGCTGACTCCCTTTAGAATAGGAATTCAATAGTGTTGTCAATGTTCATTTCGTAATCATTGTTAAACATAAGGCGATTATGGCGGAACTCTGTGCACTCCAATTTTTTGCCAATCAAAAATGACAATTTCATAGAGTTACTTGTAATGAAACCTTAATAAAATACTTGAATGAAGCTGGTATTGAATTCAATTTTAATGTTCAACGCGCTCATTGAGCATGCTAAAAAACAAAATGGCGCGACTAGGTATTTTGTTATCGTCGAGTAAATCGGAATTTCGACTGACTCTGCATGATTTTGCAAAACGTTTTTCACTTTTGGGCTATTTGTCAATTTTAATGACGTATTTTTACGATTTGATGAGCGATTAGATGAAGTTGTGTTGATTAAATAACAAACTTCTTTTTAAAGCCTTGTTCTAAGATGTGGTTTTACTCATTTCCGTACTAAATATAAGTTATCACTATCAATGTAACTTTGAAAAGTCAAAGTATTTGAAATAAAAAATCGCACATTATTCTAATTTAATTAAATTGTTTAGATTACCTAATTTTATAAAGATGAAGTTTTCTTTTGTTCATATAGTGCGTTTTGGTGCAACAATGGAGGATATTTTATTCGTTTACTAGTATACTAAATAGAATAATATTACTGTGATTGGCAAATTGTAAAATGGTTTTTAGATTATTTTCTATAAGTTAAAAACTTATATTTTCTGGTTTGTAAGTGAGTGTGTGAGAGAGTAAATGTGGATGTAAATAAATTTTTGCCTACTTATTTCTTCCTTTCATTAGTAAGGAAAAAAGTGCCCCTTGTATTTCACAATTATCTACATCCTTCATTATGCTTTTATCTTTTTAATCATTCATGTATCGCCTCCATGCTGGAAATTACCTTACTTTACTAACTGAAACGATCGATCACATTTAAGAAAATTCAATTAAAATATTTCATAATTAATAGACAAGATTAAGTCGCATTGATGAAAAACCAGCACTCAAACCCTAGGTTTACTTTCCTCAGTGATGACAATAAAAATCAAATTACCAAAATGGCGGACAAGAACCCGGCGGCATGATTGGCATCTTAGCTTGTTAAGAATGACTTGACATGATTGTATCAGTGGTTAGTATGCGGTATTTGTGTCCTGTTTGGAGAAACCTGGCTCCATACGGACCGCCAATTAACAAAAATATCGGATTATGACATTTTCGAAGTTAAGTTGAGTTGAATATAAGCGCTTCAATTTAGCCTGATCAGTAATATAAAAATAAATAAAAATAATAGCTATTTACCAGAATGACGGTCACGAGCTGGGCGGCATGATCGATATCTTCTTGTTAAAGAATGTCTTGAATTATAAGATCGTTTCAGTGGTTAGTATCCTGTTTATAGACACCTGGCTACGCACGGATCGCCAATTACCAATACATAACAAGTCATAACACTTTGATGTTTAAATTTGTGCTCACTGGCCATTTTCTATATATACGTGACGACGTCAATTCATCATTTTGTATATTCATGTGGATTTACTGGCGATAAAAAGCTTGTTAGTTTGGTATGAATACTATCCTATGAATGACCACATCCTTCATGAGTATTAATAGCCTACTTACATGTTAACTTTGCCCAGGAAAAATGCGCTACGGCGAAATATATTCTGACAAACACTAATCGCGACGGCGTGGCTGAACGCGACGTTTTTGCTGAATGGTGATATTTTAATCGGGGGTTGTATAAGTCACGTCATATGCTGTGTCTATGTTGAATGATCTCTGATTGAAGATTGACGTAAATACCCGTTAAAAATGCTTCACTGTTGTTGTAAATTACCTGACCAGCACAAGGAAAAATCATCGGATCTTTTGTTCAAAGACACCGCCACTAAATCAAAAATGCAAAATTTGAGAAAGTTACCCCCGCCACATTTTAAATGACAAATTAGTAATTATCCTGGGTTGGGGTAGAGAATAATCCAAAATTTTGAATTTTCAATCTGCATTGCATTTAGAAATGTTTTCTGCATCTAAATTTTCCTCAAAGACTGTTGGCAATTTTTCGGAGAAAATGCATTTCTACCAAATCTCAACCGGTTTAATAATTCTTATCATTCGATCTATATATTTATCGTGCAATAAATATTAAATTTAGTAATTTATAAAGAATGTATTAGGAAACAAGAGAGCAATTCTATATGCGCACTAAAGGGCGAATTTTTATCAATAACCACCGGAAAATCACAACATGAACGAAACTGGAACTGTGAAACAGCTACGGTATCCTGTACCTGTATCAGAGTGCCGGTATCAGGATTGCCCTATCTTTTTTCAGATTCTGTGATGATAAAGATTCATGCTATCAGTTTCCTCGTGAAATGAAATACCAAATGATCAGAGGCACACCTGTATTATCAAATCTCTTACAGCAGGGGTGTCAAACTCGTGGGTTCTCGAGGGCCACATTGCATTTTGGGAATTGTGCAAAGGGCCGCAAACAGCTTTTGATAATGTATACTTGAAGCATATTTTAGATGGGTGTAGTTTGTGACATATATTGTGATTTGTGATGTAAATAAACAGTCGAAGGAAATTTTGTTCTTTTCTTAAATTTCAAATGCCATTTACACATTAATTTTTGTATTTCACTATTATTGCAATTTACTGTATTTATTGCAAAAAATCAGTTTTCATGTACACTACTATCCATTTTTACTATCACAATTTTTAACAAAGTTTTCCAAGGTAAGAATAATACATACACTGAAAATGACTTAATCTAAATATATAAACCCATAATTTTCAAAAATACTACTGCATAAACTCAATGTTTTTTCATTACATATGTCCTGACGTTTGGCATCTCTTTTGTGCCACCAGCTTACTAATATCAGTCTGAATTGATTTTACAGTACCAACTCTAATTAACGAAGTCACATGAGAATTTTCAATTAATTTCAGTGATGAAAAAAAAATTACGTTTCTCATTTCTTTTATGGATCAGTAAACAAACAAATGACTGACTTTTCGGACCATACATTTCGCGACATTTTCATACCATTACGTGGAATAGGACCGCTTGAGTTGTGATTGATATTGCTTTTTAGTAACTATTGTATAATTATAACAAGAGAGCTGTGCTCAAATATATGGACACGTTTACCAGAGCGAAGCAGTATTTACCTTTGACGCCACCAGTACCCACAAAAAATTCCGAGTTTCGCGTAGAAATAATTTACAGAATCAAACCGGTCAGTCAGTGTTCCCATGGATAAAATAATACACCGAAATTTTAGACGAAATATCAGATTTCATGCGAAATTTAGGACTAAATAAAAATAATAGCCTTCTGGCAAAAAAAATCAATCTTTACTCACTGAAAATTTCAAAGCAATTGGTCCAGTAGTCAAAGAGAAAAGCGATTGTTTTAAAAAAAATGATGGAGACAAATAATAATAATAACAACAAAATTTTGAAACTATCGTTATGTCCACTACGTGTCCAATAATATACAAACACATAAAAAATTTCTGTGAGAAGTTGATTCTCAGATTTGTCATAATTGACTGCTGAGCTGATTCTGATAATGTCTACTTATATTGTATCTTTCATTGTACTGATGGAAATGTGACTACTTAAACGATGTGCTTCAGAATTTTGAGAAATGCAGAAATATTGCAACTCCCTTCTTCATGTATTTGCGTTTCATTTAATCCCTGAAGTGTTTTTTGCTAGCTTCTCAAGTGTATCCATAATTGGGCCAAATCAAAAACGAAAAAATTTGATTTTCTAAAAATACTTTCAATAAATTGTCGTTTTCTGTGTGAATAAGCAATTTCACTTTAAAAGGTTTGAAAAATGTATTCCACTCAGATAGGAAAAAACTTTTTACAATTATTGTTAGGCGTTCGAGGGCCGCATTGGAAGTTCTATTGGGCCGCATGCGGCCCGCGGGCCGCAAGTTTGACACCCCTGTCTTACAGTACCGGGTCGTAGTCTACCGTATCCGGGAAAAACTTCCGACTTCCGCTAAGCACGAGATCGGATGACATGCGGTCAATTAATTTGTGTTTTGCTGACGTCACCACACAAAACGTCGGAGGGAAAACGAATCCCATAAATCTATAAAACCCTATCGCGACAAAACAATCTTTAACCACCGAAAATTTCAAAGAAATTCATACGAGGAGAGCTCTTTTTCACAATAACAAGAATACCGCCGTCAACAACCACATAATGAGAAAACAATTCAGAGGTTACAATCGCGTGTCCAATAACCGTCATAGGCCAGTTTTTGTTTGGTCAGTTTATGAATTAACGTATAATTTACACGAACTCAAGTTCTCTTGAGTAGCATATTTCTCATATATATGAGATCAGAGGTTCGGGGAAAATGCGGGTTTGTGACAATAGGACACGCTGATAAATAAAAAGAGAGATTTAATTCTGCGAATAATTTCACGTTGTTCCCGATTTATATTTTAGCCACGTGGCTTCATGATAGGAATGACAGTTTTCATAATGATGAGGCAATTTACGAAAACAATAATTTATTTTTAGCTTCAATTTTGCCGCGTACAAAACATCTAATGCTCGTAATTGAATGATGGGTATATATTTCATCATAAAATGCCTTGTCATGTAGGACATGACGTTGAAATAATGAAACTAAAGGCGAACGTGATAACAGTTTTTGTTTGCAGTTTTTTTAGTTCAGTTTTGTTTTGGAGAAAAGTATGCTATTTTGCTGCATGTAGATGCTGCTGTGAAATTCGGAAAATCTCCAAGAGACATCGGTTATTCTCAATTTTTCCTCGTTCCGTCTGAACCATTCTAAACTTTCCCCGTCTACATTGTAAATTGAAAATCTACAAATTCACAATCATGATAAAATTGAGTTTATTTACAGTAAAATCAAAAGCATAAACTGCATATTAAATTATGCAATAATTATATTTATTCAGAAATTAGGCTTCAACCAACCATTTACGCAAAAAAATGTAGTTTTTGTGTTTCATGGGTTGGTAGGACTAATTTCTAAAGTACAGTGAGTGGCGGCATGCATAATCAGTGTGAAAGGTACAGTCAAACATTGGAGTTTTGATCTTAGGGATCGATTCAGAATAAAGTGCATACAATAGCCTTTAATTTGTTTTTTATCACTCTCAATCAAAATAAGTGAAAATGAGTTACAATGACCAACAATGAATTAATTATAAGACAAACGGTATTCCTATAAAATATAATACGCTCAAAGAAGATGTACATGTTCGTTTTGTTGTACTGTTTCATACTGGGATGATACAAAGCATCTAAGAAGTGAATTTTTAATCGATCGTAATCTAATTCTCATGACGTGCAAAAAACGCGATAAAATTTTTGTGATAAAATAATTACGGGATATACACGGATTTCTAATTACGCATGCCACAAATCGTCAGAAGACGATGAAACTCAAAACGAGAAGTACAAGAACAATAAAAATATTATCAGCTTGTAGTTTTGTTCCACTGCTTGGTAGTTTAACCGAGACAATTCTACCACCCCTGGAGCCGTCCGCTGATCGAACTTGCAAGTAAGTCTCATTGGTATATGCGAATGGAACCGTATATTTTGACCATCGGTGTGGATTGTCGGATGTACTGTAGATAATATCAAGCCCAGGAAACTCAGAATTCAATTGAATGAGACTTCCTTCGATCCTAAAACGAAGAAATTTATCAATTGAGATTGGACTTTTAATAGGATCTGGATAATGCTAGGGGTTCCCAAACTTTTTAGAGTTGGGACCCACTATTTATTACCACAACTTATGGCGACCCATTTAACTTTAATAAAACACTGATGGAGGAAACGAAAATAAGACCTGGCCTGAAAATAAGACCTAATTTGAATTTTAAAAAGGATTTTAATTAAACCCTACCCTTAAAAATAAATTTAAAATGTGTGAGAGAGGAAAGGTTCAATGACCTAAGGTAAGGTGAAGATTACACCACTATTCAAGATTGTGTGATGTCACAATCACAATTATGATATTTGTCACATGATTTTTGTATAGGAAATACAAATAAAACCAATAGATGTTGGTTTTTATATAATATTTATTAAAAAAATCTCGTGATTTTCTACAGTGTAATTTTATTTTTGATAAATGAGCACAAAAGACCTCATCCAAAAAAAAAAGATAGCGTTATTCTTCAAAAGAAAATAAATCTAAATCCTGTCTAAATTTCGGGGAAACACGGTAAGAAAGTGCTGTACAGTGTACAAAACTGCTTTGCGTAAAAAAGCCACATGGTCATATTTTGTGTAGCAAATTTTTGTTCACGCGAAGTGGGTTTAATTAGATAAGGAGAAAATAAAAAGACAAGCTGCTTACTTAGCCCCCGGTACAGGCACCCGATACAATATTCCATTTTGTTCAAGCCTACTAAATTCTTTGTATCCAACAGTGTTAGCAAACTCTTTCCAATCATCAGCGAAGCTATCATCAGTCGAACCACTTTCCCAAGAAGCCTGCATGTAGGATGTTAATTTGCTTATACATATATATATATATATAGGATCTTGCGCAGTGATGGGACCCAAAAAGAACGGGTTTTCTTATAGGCGCTCCAGAAGTGTGTGTACCAGTATGGAGGTAACTAAATTTGTTCGCCTACTTCACATCAACTATGGTCAGGGGACAGACAGACAGTCCCCGAACTCGTAATGGAAATAAAATAAGGAAAATCGGTATAAAATTATGGCCAAACCCTAACCTGGTACACACACTAGGGGGATACTTTCTTATATATATAACATAGCTCTAAAACAGGATTGAATTCGAAAAAAACAAGACATTCCAACAACGCGTCCCAAGAATTCTACCACTGATCTTATGTTGGATTACTTTTTAGATTCACCAAAGTAATGGTGACTAACGACAATGTAATATTCCAGCCAAAAATTTTTGGTGTTCCCGCATTTTTACAACATAATGGCAAAGTGGAAACTGTGAATATAAATTAGGAAAATGTACCGCCGCTTAATAGAACATCTAATGAAAAAGATCATTTCTAGAATATAAAATAAGACAATGATTCAATTTACGATATTAATTTGTTAATCAACGAATTCAATTGTTCTACCTTATGCCAGGCTCGCTCTGCTAGTGCGATCAACCGAGGAAATACAGCTTCAAAAAATTCTCTCGAATTCCTCATCGTCTCTGTCCAGATCTGCCCCTGTATTCCAATGATATTTTCTGGGATTTCTAGCGGGGTACATTCACAGAAATCGCATTTACAGATATCGTCCTCTGCAGAATATAAAAAAAGATTTATTAAGTAAAAGATAGAAAGAAATTGTAACATCAGAAATACATGTGTTAATAATAATACCGAAGTGAATATGATAGCTTAAGAAACCATGAGATCGATGTTCAAACATATGGACACGTAAGTCAAAACGAGGCAGGACGAGAATGTACGTCGTACGACGTAGTCTGATTACCCGGCACGAGTTCGCAAAATTAAAATGGAAGACTGTCGTCACGATGTCATAGAAACGTGATCCCATGAAAAAAAATTCGAATGAAATATCAGATCTCATAGTGAAATCATGAACAAATTAAAGTAATAGCCTCCCGGCGACAACAACAAGATTTCTCCACTGAAAATTTCAAATCAATTGGTTCAGTAATTAAATATAAGAGCCTTTTTTCACAACAAGAAGAAGAAAAATAATAGTAGTAGATTACATGGATGGGAATTTACCGCCAAGCGGCCTTCGGTTTCCGGCCCACTTGTGTTACAACTATAGTTTTGATGGATATATATTTCTGTTGAAAATAACGTCCTATTGATTGTTATATTGTGCTTCTCTCATTATTACGGAGACTTTAATCCTCCACATCATAAATGGTTATTTCAAAACACATCTAACCCCCTTATACCCGATACTACGCCAGTGGCGATAACAGTTTTTGTGGTCATAAATGAGTCATACCTGTTAGAGGTTTCCCAGCCCTGGTCGTATCAACATTCGAATACAAATCATCTGGTTTAAACCCGAATGTCTTCTTTGTGCTGGCAAACCTTGTTGCCCAATAAAATCCTCTTTCTTCTGGATCTGGTTCTTCAGGATGATCAAAGTATAAGTGTGTGGCTTGTGACATTACTACCTAAAATTTTATAAGAAATGAATTAGGTTATTCTGCTTATTAAATTTTTATGCAAGTGTGCTCACAAACCATGGTCCTGAGTTATTGAAAAAGAAATGAATTAGAGTAATCTGCTCATTAGTTTTTAAGCAAGTTTGCTCAAAGCAAAGTCCCAAGTTCCCGACTAAAAGTTGAAATTACTGATAAAATAGTGTCAAGCGATCACTGGGAAGGCGCTAAGGTCTATAATGTAGCTTCAATACGAAATGTGGACTACCATGCTAGTAAGCAGTGTCAGTGCGCCAAGCGCATGGATATTCCACAAAACAGAAGCTCTCAGAGTAAAGCTTCAGCAATTCACATTTTTTTCGTAACGAATCTTTTGAAATAGTAACGAAACAAAAGTTTGTTTAACCTAACAGTTCTTTCACGCGTTTTAACTGCGGTAAGGGGTAACAACATTGCTTTAACTTAACAATGAGAGATAAAATCTTAATTTTCCAAATTCGATAAGACCTGCCATTCCTTTCCCGCAAATTTTATAAGGTACAAACTATGTTTTTTTTTTTCAGTTTGATTCTATCGCATAAAAATTTGTTAGCCAACAAATCTATTGATTGTTGACCGCAGTATGTTTATCTATTTAGTTGCCTTTCAAGATTCACGTTTACGCACAAAAACACGTTATTTATTTTTTAAGAATATAAGTTTGAATAAAAGCCCTGCACCATATTTTGTTCTGCTGTGGTGAGTATGCCTTTACTAGGACTTCAGGAAATATAGACGTTTCACATAATGTACAGATTATATTACATTATACAACATATTTAACATGGAACAGTAAAAACTTACTTTATATCCCGCATTGGCAAGTTTATAAGCTCTATCAGCCAGTCCCCATTCCCAAATATTTTGCCAGGCGTTAACCAAAACTTCTTTGGTGCCATTTTCCGTTCTATTGAAAGGCATTTCATTTTCGCTGCAAAAGGGAATCAATAAATACAGATTTTATTATCGAAATTTTTTTTATATTATCTTGAAGTTGAACACTGGGCCTAGATCATAGATTTTACGTTTGAGTCAATCCACTTCGGGTCAATCCATTGTTTTTAGGGCATCTAAGATTGGGCAGCTAAATCTTAACTAAAAAGCTTCACGATTATCAAAATACAGCATGGTTAAAAGGCATCGACAAAGTCCTGTTCGTAGAGATGGCACGATACATTCAATATTAAAAAAAAAAACAGTACAATAAACTCAGACAACTATCATATAAATGTACATACTAAACAATGATATTAGCAATATTATTAAAATAATATAGGAAAAATTGCATTTATCTAATAATAATTTACTCACGTCATGGCCCCATCTTCCCACAATCCAAGAGTCAAATTTTCGTCGATATTTTTGACAATTTCACTGATTTTACGAACAAAATGTTCCTTCAGATCAAGTATTCTACAGGCAGTGAATACAAAAATGAAATTAGAAGTGTGTTTGGTACCGCAGTACATAAAAGACAACAGAAATTTTAGAAAAGCCCTTTCTTAAAAATCATATTATTTATATAATGAAAATATAAGCAAGAGGCCTAAATTGACAAATCTGTTCGAATTTGCGTTAACTTCATTAGTTTTGAAAACGTCCTTTTCACAGCCATTTTTTGCCTATAGAAAAAGCCTAGAAGAATAACAGCCTTTTGTATTTCTTCTTTTTGAAGAGTATGTATCTGTGATCAATACTGTATAATTTCCTTCTTACCCGGAATTGATTAAATCTTGACAAGCGTTTGATTCAAGCCAAGCTCCTGAAGCTACCTCGTCACCACCAAGATGCATAACGCGGAGTGGCTGGATGTCGCGATGATAATCAATAAACGATTGCACAGTTTTTTCGACGAAACTGAAAAATGAATTTTAGAAAGTTTTAGTTTGATATATCACGTATATTCAGTATATATATGATAAAAAGTTAAAAATTGGTTTTGGAGATCCAAATCATCTCGAAACTTTTCGAAAATCGAATAGATTTTTTCAAAATATCAGTCATCACGGTCAAAACATTGATAATGTGATCTATATAAGAGCCCTTCCAATAAAATATAAGCCGAATAGACTATTCCCAACCATGACAGTACAAAACGGGAAGGCTGCGACTAACCGAAAAGATTCTGCCCAAAACACAGTAAAATATCTATTCTATCTCGTTTTGGCGAATCCTTTCAAATATTCGTGTTTAAAATCTCTTGGTTGGAGCGAGATTTTAGGCATGTAAAATCACTTAATCACATAAGTAATTTTGAATTAAGAAACAAATACATCAGCATCTCCAAGAATAAAGTGCGAAAATTAAAAGTCAGGAATTCCTCACTTATATGTGGATTCCAGACATGGATTTATCGCATTGTCAGTGTACATTTGTACAGATATGTATTGAGAGGGATCATTAGGTTCCGATATTTGAATTTCTTCAGCTTCGGTAACAGAGACTTCGATTTCCTTGTCTCTTGCTGCCTGTAAACTAATAAAAATAATTATAAACGGTTTGAAATACATTCAGATCTGTTTCCAAAACTTGGTGGCGACTCTTTAGTTGTTTAAATTTGTTGGTGCCGCACAGAATGAAATCTTAATTAATCCATCGATAAAATTTTTGCAAGGGTAAGATCATGGCCATCGCTAAAGATTCCAGTCCGACCCTAACTAAACTTAATATATATATAAATATTTATATTATATGTATCAAAAATATATAATTATGTCCAATAGCCATTCAAGAAAAAACGCAGAATTTGATGAGGTAAAACCGATCTGATTATAATATTCTGCCATTTCGGTTAACCATAGTACCTGCTAAAGATTACTGTTGCCTATTGACCGAGTAACGTTATTGTATTAATGTGTGTTCTGGCGAAAGGTTTATTATAAAACCATCATGTTAACATATTGTACACAATTTTGTATTCCTTCACTCTTACTACGCTTGAGTCGCTTTAATTGCAGCCCTGGCGTGTCCTGGCATGTCAACTTCAGGAATAACTTCAATGTGATGACTATTTGCTAATCTCAATAAATCTTTGTATTGCTCAATCGTATAAAACCCAGAGCCTCGATCGGTTCCGTCTGGTCTTGAACCGAATTGTGGAATGATGCAGGATTGCTCTGTCGAGTCAAAACATCTGTAAAGATTTTAGGAGAACAATATTGAACCAATAGGATAAAAATTCACTACTCGTATTTAATTTTTACAGTTGAACATCAAAGATCTGGTGAATCTAATAGCAATCGTCACATTGATGTGTCGTTCGTTACGTACAATAGTTAATAAATTGTTTATAAAGTGGTTACCAGTCAACCAAATTGAAGACAATTTTAGCAACACCAAAAAGCACATAAACATCAGAATAGCAGGCATTTTGAATTACAGACGAATAAGAATTCTGGGTCGCAAGAGGGGACAAAACTCATTATAGCAAAACAGTTCTTACTGTGTGGCTCCAACTGTGGTGAGGTACGAACACCATGACATCTCAACCCTCCAGCCTTCGTCATCAGTAAGATGGAAGTGAAGTTTGTTCAACTTATACATTCCCATCACCTTACAAAATAGAAACAATATTTAGATACGAGTTTAGAAGCGAGAATTTAGAATCTTTGATTGTTGGACAGCTGATTGCTCTCAGCCAGTGGTTTTTTCCCTTTTTCGTAGAGCGGAATCCCAATGAAAGATTTCAGAAGCTCGAGAAAATACAAATACTTATTAATGACAAAAACGAGACAGCGATAGGAAACCGCCGACTTATCGATCTAGCGACGTGTATCCTTCGCTCTGACTCAATAGCGACACCGCGTGTCCCATCACTAATCAATTTATAAATCGCTAATTATACGACGATAATTCATCTAAAATCAACGCGATATGATGAATACACGTGTAAAATTTGGAGCAGGTTTAACCTCGATTTCGTGAGATATCGCGTAACGTACGAAAGTGTCTAACAGACAAACAGACAGACAAATACCTATCAACATATTTACTTACCGATCGAGATCGATAAGTAATGAATAATCGTTAAAATTCAGCAAGTTCAATAATAGTGGCAAACCTACAAGGTGTTCGATTTTATTTAAACAATATACATATATTAATATAGACTCTCGGATTTGAATGGAAACTTTGTAACACCTTGCCTGTACTGGTAGAACCCCAGAGTGTCAGGAAACCCAGGTTCCAAACTACTGCTTCAGTACGTCGTAAGGTAAGTTACTGAATTCTCTGCCCTGGCTGGCGGTGTGAGGAATCCACGTCCTCTCACGTCCACGCCACTGACGCAGAATTGGTTTGCTATCATCATAGACGACAATGATGTGGTTGAACATAAGTTTTGACCGTATTAAATACGAACAAATTTTCCTATTGTGGCTTTCTTTGGGAATCCACTTCCTCATTTATATCCGCAACAATGACTTATTGGGAATTAGTTAACGATGACGTAACGACTAGGACTCAACCTCCAGCTCAGATATATTTTGAGCATAATAGTAATTTGGGCTTTTAGGTTTTGTTTCGAGAATTTTGGTTGGAATCAAATAACTTAGTTTTAGTTTAGCTGAAGTAATGAAAACTAATTAAAAAAAAGATTAGTTGTGACGTAAGTAACGTAAGGTTATAATTTTTAGAAAGTCAAAGTCGCGAAAAAAAATCCATATTAAACGTCATCGCAGCATCTAAGCACAAATCCAACCCTGTATTTTTTGATATCAAAATTAAATACAAATGTCGTTACAGTACAAATGCTTAAAAATAAAGAAGCATTTACTGCTTCCTTCTACTATTAATATCATTACTACGTTCATGTAACACATACAAAATGATTTCTATACAACAGTGAAAGAATTCCGACCTTGATCAGCTTGACCATATCATTGTAAGGGACAAAATGTCTGGCAACATCCACATGCATTCCACGGTGTTTGTAACGGGGAGAATCCTGAAAACAAACTGGTACAATTGAGCAAACTGAAAGTACCCGGAATTGCTGGAGTATAAGTATACAAAGTAACGTTGTTTAAAATTAAAGGCTGTCTTTGTATGTATTTTCAAAGGCGCTCCAGAAGTGTGTGTACCAAATTAATGGAGGTAATTAATTTTGTTCGCCTACTTTACATCGAGTTGTGTAAAGGGACTGAAACCTATGGACGGGGGGTATATTCACTTGGCTAACACAGACAGTCCCCGAATTTGTAATGAACTGAAATAAGGAAAATCGGAATACAATTATGACCTAACCCTAACCTGGTACACACACTACGGGAGTACCTTTTCAAATACTTGTTGTTTCTACTTTATATATCGGAAGATTCCATCTGATACCACAATTTTCAGGTATTTGTGTATCTGTGATAATTGTAAAACTTGGAATCATTTTATACGAGTGGGCGCAATATGGCCAGAAAGTCGTTCAAAATTCATTACAAAATATACAACTGGCGGAAGCGCCTAACACTAGGTAGATTTATTTCAGTCAATGCAACAAACGCTATTCAAAATGTTTATGGGCGAATAAATGAAATTTTCGTCTTTGCGTTCATTGTCTGCGTGCATTTGGAATTATATGAATTGCTCAGTTTATCGACCAGTGGGATATTACCTATTTTTGAGAAGATAAAAATAAATTAAAATTATTGGACACGAAATTATTAAACAAAAGATCGTTTTGGTATTATGTTGTTCGTATTAGAATTCTTTTTTTCTTTATTTTAAAAAATTGTCTTTCTCTTTAAATACTGGTTCAATTGCTTAGAAATTTTCACTGGTTGGAGATTGTTGTTGTCGCTAAAAGGCAATTTCTTTTATTTATTTTAAAAATGATTGTGTGCTCAATGGGATTCGTTATGTATGTGATGACGTCATCAAAATTAAATGTTGCGCCCCTTGTGGCGGTTCGAGTTGGTTGCGATGGGGTGGTCAGTCGAAATCGTACCGGTATATTTTAATATTACATCCCCGTGCTACTTTGTTTTGGCTTTCCTGTCCATATATTTGAGCATTGCTCTTGTTACTTGAAATATTGGACGTCTACATACATAACAGCTCTATGTGTTAAAAATTATTACCGGGTACTCAGAGCATAGGAAAGTTAAAATAGTTGAAATAGTTTGTGAGTAACTTCATAGAATATATTTACAACGCGTAGGCAGAAACATAAACTCATGACTTCGCAAACAAAAGCCAAACCTCGATTCTCATTGAAGATATTTCTTTTTCGGAATTTGTTTCAACAACAGAAATCAATGTCTGGCATCCATAGTAAATTCCAGCAGGAGATTTTGCCGAAATTTCAATGGTTTTGCTGCAAATGAAACAATTAATTAATTTAGTTACAGGCTATACGTAAAAAGCAAATTAGGAAACAATAATGGAAAACTGTCAATAGCTAACCACAATTGTCGGATGCATGGAAGTGGATGGTAGAGGAATTAGTTATCAATGGAAGAATCAGTCGCCAATAAGCAGCCCTTCATAAGCTATGAGATTCGAACTTACTATTGCAGATTAGTGATTGATGCATGGACCATAATGTCAACAAATGTTCCGATTAATTTATCCTAAATTTGCGGCAAAATGTCCAAATTAACTATTTATAGGGAACGGCATATCGGTTCGTGCGCTGATTCTAGACTTAATAATCCGTGTAGCGCATTTTCAATGAACAATAAAGAAAGCAACTTTTTACCTATCTCCGTCAATATTGAGAATATAAGATTCGTCATCTTCAATCGATGTCTTTATCACCAAAGTCACGTACATTTCGTTCGAGACAGGTAATGTATCCACAACTTCAAGATTCAATTTTTCTAAAAATTTAAAAATTAGTGTTATCCAAAAACAATGAGATCAAATAATTGATAATTGACAAGAAAGTACATTAGGGGCAAATAAGTGCTTGGCGAAGTAAAGATCAGAAGTGTTAATGTCGAGATTCTGAGATCTCATAAAGAAGAGTTATGTTACAATAGTTTCCTATTGGACAGTGAAAAAATTCTGATAAGCAATACAAGTATAAAACACCAGAGTAAAAAACTCACCGCCCAGCATATTTGCTTCATTTAAAATACTGTTATTCAAATTGACAATCTGCCAACCAGAGAGAGGTTTTGGTATTTTAGCACCGCTGGTTGATGTTGTTGTTATCGGAGTTGGAATCACAAGCTTTTGTGGAGATCCTAGATCGGCAACGTTATTCCTAAAATAGAATTTGAAAATCAAAAGATAAATAAAAATCTTTTATGAAGTGCAATGGCATGAGTCACCTGTTTGTGCATATATATATAAAATTAGAAATGACCTGGACCGTCTATGGAACTCCGCAGCCGCGAACGTTTGAAGAGCTGCATGTCTGGATCATTGTTTGTAGTGCAATTTCGAAAAACATTTCAAAAACTCTAAAACTAGATGCTCCTTTTCAAATATTTTTCGATTTTTTAAAAATTTAGTTATTTCCATTTTACAGTATGTAACATTAAATGACGTACAGTAAAAAAAGCACTGAATAAAAACAGCTACGATGACCAATCTAAAGTGTGGATTCACCCGGATTTTTATTTAACCCCCGTCTTTGCAACTCTAGCTTCACCAAGTTAAATAGCCCCATCTGCATTGCAACGGCCCCGAATACGTTATAATACGTAATTATATATAAATGAAAGGCCTTGATAATGTGATTTGTGGACATCTTTTGTATGCGTCGATTCGCAAGAACAAAATCGCTATTTGTTACCTATCCCATCTTATGGAAGGAGTCCATGGATCAAATTGGTCTTCCTCGTATCTTTTCCATTGTTCCGGGGTCGTAAAATCACCCGTAAATGTTTCTAATTGTTCAGTCGCTGTTGATTCAATAGTTTTGTATTGTTCACCATCGCTGGTAGCAACCCACCAATTTGGTAACATGTCAGTTCTTGCCACGCTCCAGTTTTGAATAACGAGGTTTATTACGGCAGAACTTTTTGCCGGGATACCTATAATATAACGTTGAGCTATAAAATCGTATTCAGGTTTGCACACATCGCGCGCGGTATGGTATAATAAAATTATTCTCTTTGATAGAGATAAAAGAAATAAGAGAGAGCTGACAAATGGTGAATTTGATATTAAATAATTGAACTATTTGTTCAATCATGCCAAACATTGAATTTCAACGAATAAACTAAACTACAAAGGAGTAATTCTGATCAGCGACGTTTAAATGAATCATTTTAAATCAGACAAAACTAATTTTGTTCCACTGAAATATCTCAAGAAAATCTACGTCTACAAGAGAACTCTTGAGGAAGTTAAGGATTCTCCATGGCTCACGTTTGGGTTTCATATAACAAAATATACATAAAATTTTAATCATGCTAAATCGTACTTTATAAGTGCCCAATGTAACGCAAAATCTAAAGCACATTTGAGGTGAATATGAAGTTACGAGCCAGTCCTGGGACTATACCAAACCGACAATATTTATCATGAGACTGCAGTCAAACAATAAAGTAAATCCGCACTCTACGAAAGCCATACGCGATTTATAACAGGCAACCCAAATACTGTAAGTGCTCAGACATTGCTTTGTTTAACCATGGTTATAAAACCATCCCGATCTGTTTACAACCTTACGCATACATATCATATCACTCACCAGCAAAGTTCTGGGTAGGCACAAATTTAAACACGCAGCCATTGATGTGATAAACTCTAAAATTCGAATCTGGAATCTCATATCCGTCAGTTGTTTTCCAAAGCTCTTGATCTGGTTGAATCATGTAGATGTTCATAAAGTATAATTCCCAGCCATTCTGCAATAAATATAATATATATGTAGATCAAAACCACTGAGAATGCGCATTGTTATAAAAAGCAATGCTTTGACAGGATTAACTTGATAGCTATATCATATATATACTGTAATTTCACTGGGGACTAGGCGAAAAGTTGTGGCTATTTGCAGAATCTATTCTAAAATTATTATCTTACAAATCTAATATTGTAGGAGCTAAATATGCCATAATTGCAACATTAATACTAGCGTAGGATAGTCTAAAATCGACCCACTCACTGAAGGTCGAACAGAAGTTTTTCAAAAACATTAAGAAATTTCAGCATGAACGACAAATAGCTGCTAAGGAATACCAAGAAAATTTTGGTCTAATTTAATAGCACTCATTCATTAGTCTCTACATCGATGCTTACCGAGCTTATTTGTTGATTACCAAGGTTGGTTAATGAAATTCTGGCTGTAAAATTGCTGAACCCTCCCACCAGGTTTGATATAACTTCGTACTTGATTTCAAGGTTCGACGCCACATAGTCGATTACGGTTTGTGAAGAAACTCCGTTTGTAATCAACAGCAATAATGCTACTAAAAAATTTAAAAATATGTTTAAAATTCAAAGTAAATACCTCGAAATTATTTGGATTTCACAGCAATACTTTTTGATAAAATTGAAGGGGATGAATGAACTGTATTGCCTGCCTTATCTCCTTACAACTTCGATTTCTAACTTTTATGAAAGTTGTGTTTGAGCATGCAACGTAAAGGCACTAAAGTGACCTAAACAACATGTTGTTGAGAAATTGCTAAACTTCTATGAAAGTTGTGTTTGAGCATGCAACGTAAAGACACTAAAGTGACCTAAACAACATGTTGTTGAGAAATTGCTAAACTAAATCAAACAAACTTTGAGGACCAAATATTTCCCGCGAGTTTGGAAATATTGTTTCGAAAATGTAGAACTACAGTACTTTTTGTTGGCTAAGTCTTACTGATATATATATTATGAATTGGCGTGCCTTAGTTAGGTGACCGCCATCTAATTTAGATTTGAAATCATTGTTATATCAGACAACTAGGCAATAACATAAACGACCCAGCTAATTAGAAAACACAATTTTTATGCCATTGCAAGAAAATCAAACTGGAGAACTGACTTACCTACAGTACAAAACGCTCTTTTCATGTCCTGGTGTTCAAAACAAAACACTGCGAGTACAATTTAATTCCAATGTATGCTAAATATCAAATTTGCCTCAGGCAGTTATAATCGCAGTATTACAATAGCTTAAATATTAACAGGCGTTTACAACTTGCATAGATTGTAAATCTTGATTTGAAATCATACATGGCCGTGCTATGAGGCAAGTTAAATATGTCAAGAACCTTTGAATTTAATCGGTCTGGCCTATTTCGAGAGTCTTGTTTTTGCAAATTCATTTAGGACAATGAATCAGAAAAATGCATTTCGATAACGAACAATGGCGTAATATAATATGTAGACATTAGCTACCTCATTATATAACGAATCTGAATTTTTAAGGGGCTTGAACAAATCTAAGCTGCTGGTTCCAAAATGACCGTACGTTTTCATCAAAACTATTACTCGGGAACTCGAGTTGGAATAAAATAGCAAATATTTGGTTAATATTTTATATCCGTCGAAAACAACACTCTAGTTTGCTTTCTTTGACTTTTCCATCGCGTTTGTTTGCTTGCATAAATTTACTATGCTATGCGGTGTTGTATCCGATATTATAACAATATTTGCCTGCACATCGCACGTTTTTTATTTAGGGATCACAATATACTCATTTTCCGGAAAAAAAAGTTTCTGCAGTGTTCAAGTTTAGTGGATTCAATTTCATTTAGTGGATTCAATCTAACCACCGTTCAGTCCAACCACCGATATCAAAAGATTAGATACATTCCAAAACATTGGAAAATAGTAATATATATAATCCTCTCGTTCTTTTCTGATACAAATTGAAAAAAATCGGGGTTGCGACACGATTCATTAAGTTTTAATGGAGGAACAAGTGAGTTATAGAAATAAATTGAAAGAACAAAATAGACAAGCTGCTTAAACTTCTACTGATTCGCTGGGGTTCAAGTTTGAATTGAAATAAAATATATATAGAGAGAGATTTTTCATTTCGTCAACCAAAAAAGACAGTCATCAATAAAATAGCAACAGCAATAAAATTGTTTTGGTATGTACAGGAGGGAACGATACGACCATACGGTCATCGAGGTCAGCTCCCACAAATATATGTCTACTTTTCTCCACTTTCAAATAGCATTGACTGCATTTAGCATGAAAGACCGCATAAATGCGCAATACATAAAGATAGCGTAGCCATCTCTAAACCAATCCTTGAACTTCGCCCTCCAGCAATCTTGTATATATAACTGTTTATACATGTGGCCGCATATACATATAATATATTATACTGGTTTGTTCAAAATAGATTAGACGGAGTGACATTAGAAATGCTGAACATTTTCGTGTTATAGGCCATCATGGCATTTTGCATAAACCCGTCTCGTGCGTGAATTCTTCAAACTCATTTGTTTATAAACTTCGGATATTGACAAGGTAATATGGAGCATAAAAAGGGCAGATCGATTTACTTTTGATCTCAGCCTGGAATGCGCTGATGGCCTGGTCTACCTCATTTTCGCCTCCGCAAGCAGTGGGAATCACTCGGGATACTATTGTACCTATGGAAATTTGCACCTACGAATATTTGAACCCATACTAACCCTGACCCATGGATTTTAGCACCCTCATATAGATTGAACCCGCGAAAATACGGGTGCAAATGTATGGGTTCAAATGTGCTGTCACCACAAAGAGACATGCGAAACATTCAATTTTTTCGATTTTGTTAACTTTTAAAGTTCAGAACTATTATATAACTAACAAAAAAATTATGCTCAAATATATGGACACGAAATTCATAACGGAATGTTTTACCATCAATTCCCCGTAAATCACAAGGTGAACAAACCTGAACCGCCACGGTAACTTACCAGTACTTGAATCACGGTACCGGTTGCGGTACGCCGACTGTCCCAACTTTTCCAGGTCCTGTGAAGATGATCTATGCTGCATGATTCAGTTTTCAAAACCGTATTCCCATAGATTAAAAATAATACAGTGAAATTCTGGATGAAATATCAGATCTCATAGGATTCATAGAAAATTTAGGAATAAATAAAAGTTAACACAATGATAATTATGTTGACGCACAAAACGTATTCTTATATAAAAATTCCCACGGACAAGCCTGCAAATAGGCCTATGGTTGATAATGATAATTATGTTGACTCACAAAACGTAATCCTATATAAAAATTCCAAGATTCCGTTTTTAGTATATTGTCCTCAGTTAATTTTCCTGGTGCGTATAATTCATTGCATAGACTTAGTTCGTTTGTATGAAGGTGGTCCGCCAAAGGTTTGGTCAAGCTTTACCGGTCCGTCACTTGAAAAGAGTTGCCGTCCACTGATGTAGGTTATACATGTATTCAGACACGACCAGGTTATTAAATGAACCTGCTAAACGGCCTCTAGGCGTTTGTTCTGGCCTTTTGAAATGAATGATTTGATGATCAGAAGAGAAAATGTTTGATAAATGTCAAATACTTCATTGATAAGGTCGTAGCTTTTCAAAGTTAAAAGATCGACGTAGATGTAATATTCAAATCTCCGGGTTTTCAAAAAACCCGTCCATAAACGCGCTCAAATTTTTGGAACAGTTTGATTTCAGAAATAATTTAAATATATATCAGATGAGTAATTTCAATTTTTGTCTGTCTTCAGCCCATAACCATAAAAATATTAAAATTCGGGGTTTTTCAAATACTCTAATTGAAAACGAACAACCATTTGCAGCCTTCTATGAGATACGAATACCACATGAAATTTCCGAATTTACACTTAATTCTCGATTAGTTACAAAAGTATTTTGCAACAGGGCTAGACAGTGGTGGGATTCTATTTTTTAAACACGAGTTCTCCTTTGTATGGAACTCACTAAAAAGTTTACGTCACTGCGTGGATAAGCCGTCTTATCGGCTTTCCTCTCCCCCGGGATAAATATGTAAATCCTATCCTAATCCTATCCGTAATCTAAATCAACACGATGCGCTTTAAATAAATATATACAATACATAACTTTCTGAACGTCAAATATAACGCTAGTCTTCAGAGAACGTCCAACGTCTGAAACAGGTTCGCTGATCCCAGGACATTCCAAGAACAGGAAACTCGAGAGCTGCATAATCTCTTCTACCACCCACCAAATTCGACAAATGAAAAGCTGGGGAACACACTTGGAGGAACATAACGTTGTAAATTATAGAATTTGTGTGCGTAAGGGCCCGTTCACACTGACGCATATGTTTGCGTTGCGTTGGGAACGGAATCCAACGCAATTGCGTTGAGGGTGTTCATACTTCGAATGCTTTAACGCAGCAACGCACGAATAAGTTAAATAAACTTAATAAACTTAAAAGTTAAATAATAAGGTTTTAAGGTGTGAACATATGTGAATGGGCCCTAAAACGTGAAGTGATTTGGGGGGGGGGAATTAACCGGAGTCCAGTGCGCGTCGGGAAAGTGTTGTTTTTGATCCCCTATTTTCGTTCATTTAACTGAAAAATTGTGCAAAATAGAACTGTGTATTACATGACCCTTGCAATCAGTAATCAGTAATTTATTTTCCCATCAATTGCAAGATATCTGCAGCTACAGGACCGTTTAGGTAGCTTCAGTTTGATGGATATTTTACCATGTTTCGGTAAAGATAGCCTAGTCTCGTCTATTGTCGCATCGCGCATTGTTGAGAAACGTCTGTGATTTGTGTACTACCGCCTACCGGTACCGTACCGGTACGCGAGACAGAACTGCGAGGTTCTGTTGTATCATATATCGAGTCTACGACGTCACAATCAATCTGCCCACGGGAAGACGGAAGTTATTGCAGTACGGTACGTACGGTACCGTATTGTGGTACGGTACCGGTACCGGTACGAATTTGCGCGCTATTACTGCATTAATGCTATAAATATAAGTTAATAACATTGATATTCCATTGATTAGCATAATTCTGTAATTATAGAATACGGTACGTTCCGTATTCTAGTACCGTACCTACTGCAGTAAGCTACCTAATCTCTGACATTTTCTCGATGATCGTCTGATTCCAGCCTTTCACCTACACTATCACAATACAGACAAGATGAGCCTATGGTTGAAGTGTTCTACCTTAGCTAAAGGTTTTCAACAGACACGTCTATCTTTACTTACAAACAGACAGTATTCAGCTTTTCGGAAAAATCAGGTGGGTTTCGATTTAAAAAAATTAATGAAAACAATTGGTTCTGATTCTGTCATAAGTTTTATTCTAGGTCTCGCATCTCATTATTAATAGTTTTGATAATATGGTGATAGAAAAATTTAAAAAGCAGTCAGCACTCTATCATAGAGCTAAGCTACAATACTATTCGCGCGGCGGTGTGGCTCAACGGGCTAAGCGTTAGGAATACGCTCGCCACCGCACCTCCAATTACCCTGCGTGAGTTCGCAGATTCGAATCCCATGCAAGAATGGTTATGTGCGAAAGGATTGCTGGACTCGCCGTCGTTGGGTGGTTCACGTAACCGCCGGTCGGTTACGTAACCACCAAGTCCGTGCTTCCGAAAACAAATAATATAACTAATCCCATACCCGACTTGGAATGGTAACCGGACAAGAGGCCGTGTTTCCCCATATGGATAAGCCGTCTTATCGGCTTTCCTCTCCCCCGGGATAAATATGTAAATCCTATCCTATTGATAAGAGTCATGTATTTTTCAATTAACTAAATGAATAATTGGACAATGTTCACATGTTTGATGCACACTGAAGACATTTCTGAAAATATATACCATATTTCCAGGCGAATAAAAGACGAGGCCCGGTAAATGCTGAAATAAGGAACATTATATATTTTTTATACAATGCTTTTGCTTTGCCCTATACAAGAGAATAAATCACTTGACTTTTTGAATACAGGATCTCTAGTCGGATTACTGATTTGCTGCATTCAAGTCCATGCTTTCGAAAATAAATAACTGGCTAACTAATCCCATACCCGACATGGACTTGTAACCTGACGAGAAGTTGTGGTTCACCATATGATTTAGCCGTCTTATTGCTTTCCTCTCCCCCAGGATAAATATGTGAATCCTATCCTATCCATTCTTGAACTTTTTTTTTCAGCGATCAGCTGTATTCAAATGGGTTTCACCTTTGCGTAAGTCTGCAGATATTGCAAAACAGCTCCCAATTCATCAGCCTGGTCAAAAAATAATCGGATGGTGGCTAGCTGGATGTTGTGGCCTGGTTTGTTTATTTCTTACATTTCTCAGTTTGCAAAGAAAGGCTGACAGTCTAATGATTCAAAGCATTTCATACTACTTCCAGAATGGGTAGATAGTATGCACCTTAATAACTTAAGTTACCGTAATGGATGAGTTTATATGTGTATTTGCATAAAAGACTGTCATGAGTCCTCAATTATAAATGGAAAGATTATTGACAGAAGAGTGAGTTAGTCACTCATGCTGAGATTTTATTTTTATAACATAACATCGTGCAATACAATACTGTTAATCGAAGGGAATTGGACAAAAATGCTGCACAACAGAATAACTTTTCTTGACTAAGGAGGACAGTAAAATGGCCCAAGGTGTTCAATTTAACCCAAAATTTGTCCTTTGATATATAATTCATGATCTTGAAGGTATGCCTTCTTATTATATAAATTTAAAAATGTGTCTGGTAATTGCCAGTGATTTATTTTTCTTTTTGTCAGGGTAGGTGGTTGGTGCTGTTGTTTTGGGTGGTGTGACTCGGCTAACAGAATCTGGATTGTCTATGGTTGATTGGCATCTTATCAAAGGTATGAAACCACCAACTTCACAAGAGGATTGGGAGAATGAGTTCAACAAATATAAACAATTTCCTGAGTTCCGAATGTAAGTGTTGGATAAATATTCTGACGAAATATAAATACTGTGAATAAAATGAAAATGCAATGAATTCAAAATAGGAAGAATTTAGGGAAAATACTAAAAATATAAGTCAAGTTATAAAGTTGTGTCTGTTTACAAATCGAATATTAATAATCAAGATGAAGCGAAGTGATACTAAAATCTTAGATTACTTCATTAATGGTTAACTTCGGTCATCAAATACTTGAAGAAACTCGAGTACTCGAAATAAAATTACTTAACTAACCACCACTGCAATTCGAAAGACCTGTGACTTGACTTGTGACTCGGTATTAAGGATTTCTACCCAACAATGGTTAAGCTGACCTGAGGCTAGAAATGACTTGCTCTCAGCCTGTGAGATACCCAACCAAACATTCCTCACTTGACTAACATTAGGTTGCTTTAATTTTAAAAATCAAGTTTTTACATTTTCAGATTGAATCATGATATGACATTGAAAGAATTTAAATTTATCTGGTACATGGAATACAGTCATAGAATGTGGGGAAGATTAATTGGTGTCGTCTATCTTCTACCACTTGCTTACTTCTGGAAGAAAGGTTGGTTAAATCGAGGAATGAAAATCAAGTCAGGATTACTGGGAACTCTTCTTGTTTCACAGGTAGTACTTTTTAGAAGGGAATCTGGAACCAGACTCTTGCTCAGGGAAAATCAAATATTTATATTAAAACTTTCGCAAACCTTCTTTAATAGTTATTTAAGAACACTTTATATCTAAGTAAACTTTATATCTTCTTTAATTTCTGTAGAAAATTTGCGTCCTTTATACCCAATGAAAGCTTGCAGTTCCGACTTCATTTCCGCAAAATTTGACTCTAGAATAAGTGTTTGTCGGTCCCTAACTAGATTTTCTCTTTTTCAAGGGACTTATCGGTTGGTTCATGGTTAGGAGTGGACTCGAAGAGAGGTTCGCAGATTCAGATGTACCGAGGGTCAGCCAGTACAGACTCGCTACACACTTGGGTTCAGCATTTCTACTTTATACTGGAATGCTATGGATGTCATTAACGCAATTACTTCCCAAAAAGTCTTTAAATTTATCAACAACGCGGAAATTGGTGCTTCGATATCATGCATATGGCTTAATGAGCCTTGTTTTTGTTACTGCTCTATCAGGTTGGAATTTTTAGTTTTTGAAGTTTTTTTTATTATTGAAGTTGAGGCCAATAGCATCTCCAGAAGTGTGTGTACGAGTATGGAGGTAATTAATTTTATTTGCCTACTTTACATCAAGTTGTGGGACTGAAATCTATGGGCAAGGGGTATTTTGTATATTCACTTGGCTAACACAGACAGTCCCCGAACTCGTAATAGAACTGAAATAAGGAAATTCAGAAAAAAATCATGGCCTGTCGCGGTACACACACGACGTGAGTACCCTTTTGCTTGCATATCGATGTCTGATCGGGATACACTAGATATCTTCGATTATTGTTTGATTTCTTCTGAACACATGTTTTGTTCTCCAGGTGCATTTGTGGCTGGTCTAGATGCAGGACTTGTATATAATTCATATCCCAAGATGGCAGACAGGTGGATACCAAGTGACCTAACAGCGTTCACCCCAAAATGGCTTAATATATTTGAAAATCCTACCACTGTGCAGTTCGATCATAGAATATTAGTAAGTCCATTTCATTCTAAACTAATTCAGTTATGGATTTTTTGAGAACATGCTTGCCACTGTACCACCGATTACCCTGTGCAGCTTTGCATCCTATGGGGATAAGGCAGGGGTGGGCAAATTACTATCCGTGGAAATGGCCCACTGAGGTGTTTCATCTGGCCCATTTGTGTCTGTTGAATATGTCGATAAAAATAATGTCATAATGACCCGAATTGTTACTTAGTGCTTCTTATTATTATATAACCATTAGCCCAGCTGTTGTAAATAAACTGTTTTTTATTCATAGTTTTTCATATCGAGTTCTAGCCCTCCGTCGCAGTAACCAAGTCTTTTATATGAATGTAATAGGCCCACTCAAAAAAGTAATTGCCTACCCCTGGGATGGGATTGTTGGACTCCTCGATACAGTTTCACCGGTATTATTTTATCTCGCAGGGTCATCTTAGTTTAGCATCAGTCATGAGTATGTGGTATATGGTACGAAGATCTTCAGGTGTCCATTCACGCGCCATACTTGCATCTAATTTTATGCTGGGAATGGCTTTTATTCAGGTGAGTTGTTGTTAAATTAAATCTTATAAATTGTATAATAATTTTTCATGAGGAAATCTCCCCAAATCAAGGTGAAGTGCCCCCACTCAGTGATTCGTCTCCAAGAGATGTTATGGGTGGCTACTAGAGTACCAAAGAGCTGCTGAGACTATAAATCATTATAATGTGGAATTGCCTAAAAAAATTTGTTTATCCTTGGAAAGAGCAAAGTGTGTAAAACTGCAAAATTATGGCCGCTTATTTGATTTTGGAGAAATTTATGCGGGTAGGTATATCACTAAATGGTCCATATCCCCGCACACTTAAGGTAAACAGAGGTGCTTGCCTCTTGCCTTCAGCAATTAGTTTGCTGGCGCGCCTTGTTCAGTAATGAAGATCTGGTTACAGTTTTCTAACATATCTCTAGGTACTGTTGGGAGTAACAACTTTGCTGACTTATGTTCCAACATCTACAGCGGCCATGCATCAATCAGGGTCTCTTACTCTCCTATCATTCACGACATGGCTGGCTCATGAGCTGAGACGTGTACCTAAGTAAGCAAAACTGACTATTCCACCGCAGAGACTATGCACAGATGAAGAAACAAAAGAATGGCAGAATTCTACAAATAATATTGAATTTAATAAATATCAGCATTTTTTTACAGCTTGCAAATATAAATACAATTATGTCATTTCCTAATGTACCATTGAAAGCACCATATACACTTTTAGGCAGGTTATGTCGATAAATTTAAAAAGCAAGACGTACAGAAAGGAGGTTTGTTGCTATAAACTAGCAAATACTTAGAAATATTCGGTCTGATAAAGAACCAAGATATATATGCACAATGAGCACAAACGATGTACAGATATTACAAAACGCAGTGATGGTAGAGAACTAGGGATGCCACTGGCTGGATTGAACCTGAAGTCCCATTTTACAATTAAACAAAAAGCACAAAGTTGTCACTTTTTCTTGTGTTTAGTAACATTCTTCATCACCCATTCCATGCCATCCTATGAGAATAAGTTAAGAAAAAATATATTTACTCGTGCAATGCTCGGGATGAAATCTTACTTTGTATTCATGCACATGTTTTTACAAAAGCCAGAGTGTGAGTTATGCTTGAATTCTTAATTAATAGAAATAGAGTTTCAATATAGGCAAAGAGAAACTAATGGATGCCACCTGCAACCAATAATTTGAATAATAATGTGTTGTTAAGTAGAGAAAAACTCCCCCAAGGCCCTCGCATCATCTGGCATAGTTGCAAAATGCTCTCAATCAATGGTTACTGTTGTTGTTGAAACTTAATATTTATTGCTCCATTTCAATTTACTTATGCTGTGTCTGACATTTGCCAGTTTGCGTATCAATGAATAAATAATATATAAGGTAACAAATAATTCATAGCACTGTCACAGTTTGGCAAACACTTTGTCTTACCTGAAGACCTTCTCCGCTTAATGCTGAACATCCTTGTATATTCCAATTTCTATCTCGTAATTTAGCCAGTCCGAGTCCCTCTGCTACTTCTGACGCCTTGGCTGAGTGTAATAAGTCTTGCTTGTTGGCATAGACAAGAACTGGAACTCCCAACAACTTATCTTCATTAAATAACTCCTCCAATTCCTTAAGTTATTAAAATTGTTACAAAATGAATTCCTAAATATCTTTCCGTTTTTTGTATATTATATAAACATTTGATAACTCAATACGCTGGAAAAGTCCTCAGCCATTGGATGTTTTAAACAACGTCTAAAATTTTGTTACAATTTCGGCTATAAAGATCACAACCTTAAACTGAGGGTGGAGGAACAACATCCCAGTTATTTTAATAAATGAAGGGACCCAGAGAAAAATCTTCAAAAATTTGGTTTTGCATGACAAATAGTTGATAAAATGCTATATGTATCCATAGATCAGTTAAGATCGTAGAAGTCCTATTGCTGCAAAATATATTACTCACTAAATTTGTTTCCTCTAATCGAGTTCTATCAGCACTATCCACAACATAAATCAGCACATCCGTGTTTTCAAAATAATTTCTCCAATATGGTCTGATTTTCCTTTGACCACCAATATCCCACACATTCAATTTGAATCCTTTTGTTTGAACACTTTTTATGTTGAAACCCTGCAAAAGTTTTTTATAACATAACTCACTTGGTTCATATATTTTAGGCGAGGATATATCTGTATATTATGGTACATTATTAAGTGCATCTAGTACCAACAAATAAATATCTACTGTCTTCATTAAAATGATTATTAAATTCATCACAACTGGTTAACCCATATAATAGTACTCTTTAGACAGATAGGTTCAAAAGCTTTCCTGACAGCTAGGTAAAATTAGACCGGTTGAGTATGTAAATATGTGTGTATTTTTCCATGGATATTTATTCAGCCCATCTATGGCCAAATGTCTTATAGGTCCACATGAATTTGTGAATTATTATTTTCAAACAAGGCTACAGTAAATCAAAACTCAGTCTTGTGTTCGGGAATTTATTAGAATCATTATTACTACGTAGCCTACTATTAGATAAACTAAGAAGAAAGGTGCCTATCCGCTGTGATATTACCAATAAAATTTAATACCTGTGTGGGGGTAATGTGTGTGACATCTTCTGAAGCTAGACTCTTCAAAATTGTTGTTTTACCGGCATTATCAAGACCAAGCAAAAGTATTCGCATCTCTTTGACACTGTCAGATTTAAGTTTCCTCAAATAACTCAATAACCCCTGAAAGTTGTAGCAAAATATAGATACATAGTAAATTAAATAAATAGTAAAATATATAACTTGTAAAAGCGATAACGCTCTAATGTCTCACCATTGTATTCCAAGATCTTCTACAGTATCACAAAAGTTTAGAAATTATTGTCAAAAATCATGCAGAAAAATTGTAAATTAATCTTCAATTTGCAGTCCAAAATTTCTGTCGAAGATTAAGAAGTAATGAACAAAATTCTCGTCTCAGTCACAATTTATCAATTTCGTTTCCAATCTATTCCAAGAAGAACGTCAGCCACAGCGGTACGGACCCTTTTTCTGTTTCTGTCTTTTCCTTGAATACTGGTTATGTTGAATATTAGTGAATGTAAATATATCAGATCTGCAGAATAAACATGAAATAAAGCTATAGTTGAAGTATATAATCAAAAAAGATCGATCCCATAAGAAAAACGCCGTTTTAATTCAATAAAAGAAGTCCTAAACACCTGCTATACTCCAAAAAATGGCGTTGTTAGCGACAGAAAGCTAGAAAACAAATAAACAAACCATCTGATTTGTCACGCACAGCTGACCAATAGCGTCACGTGATCGATTATTGTGGTGGTGTGCCGGATTATGCGATAGATTAATTTTAAATTCTATCAATCAAAGATTAAATCTCTCGAGGTGTTGTAAAATACAGTTATTACTGGTTATTATTTCGTTTTAAAATTACATATAAAAACTGAGGTTAAAAAATTAGAAACCTATATATTACATTTACAGTGTTGTCATATCATTGTGGGGAGTCGGGAACCTCCAGAAGCGCATGTCAAGATAAATTTTGCAAAAGTATATTATGTATTAATCACAAAACTAACAATGCTATAAATTACACAACTTATTAAATTAGTACACGTCGGACACAATACTGTATTTCAATAAATTCTGTTTGCTCGATAGCTTTATGCTAAGATTACTATTCGCCGCCATGTCGCTTATTTCACAGTGCTGAAATGATCGTTCGCCTTAGGCCGCGAGACGAAGCCGTTTATCTTTCAGTTTCGTAGCGCACATATGAGGACTACTTGGAAATAATTTCAAAATGTTCCTCAGAAATTTAGTAACAAATAATATGTTGTTCCCATTTCCAAAAGTTGCACGTTTTACAAAAAAGACGCTTTTACTGAAAGAAATATGTGCTACCCCTTGGGTTATATCATTGAGGTGTATATATTCACCTCAATGGTGCTACCATCTGTCCTATATTCTCTGGGCAACATTGGCCAATGATCGGTGACTTCTGCATGACGGAACAATTAAAATTTGATCAGCCGTTGGCGGCTTTTAGGTATCAGTTAAGTTATGCTAAGACGCTATTAAAAACTATGAGTAAGTTATTAAACACCCTTAGATCCTAATAGCAATTTTAGTTCATCACTAGCTCATATAACGTTTTTAAATAGGTACTGTGCGGTGAAAGGTTATATATACTATACCTAGAAAGATATGCCACAAACAACGATACGGTATTTTTATGATTGTATGGAAGGTACATGGTTAATTTGATGACGATTCTTGAATATTCAGCAGACTTATACTACTATATATAGGCTACTACAGCATATTTGATTCGGAAAATAATGACCGTTTTTGTAATGCACGTTTGTGAGGAAGAGGGAAAATAACCAATTTTACTGATGTCAGTTGGTCCAAATTCATAAAGCCGACAAGAACGTGGGCAGCAATGATAAGTCATGCAGGGGTTGAAAGATATTAAGCGATTGAGAGGTGAGAAATCAGGTATCAAGTTGTAGGCTGACAGTTGATGTTTTAAAAAATGCAAGACGTTTCAAACTGTGCGATTCATCTAGATCAGTGTAGATATAGTCTAGTATGCAAACACTGCAGGACTGTAGTAACATCAGATGAAATTCCATGTACAGTATAAGAAGTATTTAATAGTATTTTTATGTTGTGTCAAATATGATTTTATTCGTCATTTCAAATACTGCACTACAAAGAAAACGCCACCAATGTTCTACCAATCCTACCTAACGCAGGCTATCGTCGCTGCTGCGATCAGCGCTATACCTGTAAGAATAAAATGGATTGAAAAAAGGTATATGAAAATCATAACAGTTGCAAACAGCTTAGATGGGCTATTCATATTAAAATTCTTTGGCATTTTTCTAAACTTGAAACTGCCCATCAAACTGATGTTGGAAGACTTGAAATTCATTGAGTTTTTTTTCTCAACTATGAAGATCTTTTGAGTTTAACGGGGCATTTATAAATAAAACTGAAGAATTTGTTCTATCACTGTATGAAGAGGATATGAAAAATGTAAATGATACAAGGGCACGCCTTTCCAGAACTGGCAAACATATGGATTATGCTTCTACACCCTCAACAATGATTCACTACAGAAGCATGTTCTGAGGGCGAATTACCAGGCAAGATTGCATCACTGTTGCCTAGAACCGGAGCCAATTATTCCGCCACCTATTGGCCATGAATGAGTTTTTGATGAGTGTGTTTTGCGGATTAACTTGGTGGATCCACTTACCGCCCCTAAATCAGTTCTTTGAGTTGGCAAACTGCAAGTGTAAGAAAAATAGGTGTCAAAATAATTTATGCATGAGTGTCAAAAATAACCAAAATTGCACAGAATTTTTGTTTTGTGTCGACTGCAAAAACCACAGTATACGTATAGACATAGAGGAAAAGTCGATTTTCGAGAATGAGTAATTCGAAAGCAATTCATAGAAAAGTGAATTATATATAGATATGCGTTCTCGGCACCGCCACGATATGCGCAAATTTTGATGACGTCATAGCACACAAAAACAAATCCCATATAGCTCACAGAAATATTTAAAATAGATAAAAGTAATAGCCTGCTAGCCGAAAATACAATCTTTACCACTGAAAATTTCAAAGCAATCGGCCCAGGGCCCAGTAATTAAAGAGAAAGGCGATTTTTTTTCATAACGATAAGAATGAAAATTCTAACATCAAAAACGAGAACAACAACAACATAATAATAAAACGACTTTGTCCAACAACATAATAACAAAACGATTTATGGGTCCACTTCGTCTTCAATTATCAGGTCTTATCACTGTCACTCTTGGCAATCCCGGACGAAATTAATTACGCGATATCGCGTTGATTCGAGGCACGGCATACATGAATGAATGAAGGGCGTTCAACAGGGACCGTCAAAATTAGTCAATAATCTAATTACACCTAGGAGTTTACATTTAAAAATAGCCTTAAGTTACATTGCATTTGGAATACATCATCATATTTGACACAATTCCCATATGGCCGATTTTCCACATTGAAAGATTGATTCCTCTTCACTATGAATATTATTAGAAATAATTACCTCACAATTGATTTCCCTTATATTGCACCACTGTCAAAAGTCTAAGATCCAATCAAAATACCAAAAGAAATGCATGCAGGTTTCTTCATTTTCATTACAAAGTATATATATACACATTTTCCATTTTCATCATCGAAGCAATATTTTAATTTGTCTCCTGTAGGTAGGTCATTAGGCAAAATTTTCCAACTTAGAATTTTGTACTTATTTGGGAGTTCATATTTGATTTTTGAATGAAGTTTTCTGGCATAATTTCCTAATTGGCAATGTGCCACACCTAAGACAACATTGATGATTCGACAATAATAATTTTTACTATCGTCAATAAATTTCGCCCCTGCCATAAATTTACTACATTTTGAATAGAGTTAATGATTTTCAACCAGTTTTTATCCCGCGATACAATACTGTTTCCTACGAAGCCTTCTAAAATATTCAGCTCATCCTGAATTTGAATACCCTTGTATGATGGCCCTATGTTTAGCCGTTTTGCTGATCCGCACAACGTTATGTTGCATTTTGGAATATTTATTCTCGAGCCTATAGCTTCCTCAAATTCTGTCATTAATTTTAATACCTCGTCTATAAAGAATACATTTTTTAATGTGACAATAGTGTCATCCGCAAAACCTTTATATTTTACCCTGTACCTGTACGATTTCGAAAACCTATAATTGCATCGAATGTTGGATACTAACAATTCGGACATTATTAAATATAAAGGTGGGGCAAGGAGACAACCTTGTCTAACTCGTGTTATACTAAATTGTTTCGATAAATATCCATTTGTTATTATTTTTGCATTGGCGTTACCCATCTAATGAAATAATTGCCAAATTTCAAGTTTTTTTTTAATATTTTGAGATTTATTATTATTATAATATTTTAATTTATATAATTTATATTCGAAATTAAGTAGCGTAATAAGTGTCCATTTTTTTTTATTTTTATATCCTTTTTTTATATATTAAAGTTATTAACCAAGACTTGTGTTCTGAGACAGCCACGATTGTTTAAGATAACTATTATAAATTAGCACAACTATTGGGCGAAATTGTTTCCAAACTTTTGTTAGACCATCCAGACCAAGGGATTTATTTGACTTCATTTGTTTGAAAGCTTATTCTAATTCTTCTTCTGTTAATTTGCTAACCAGTTCTTGTTTTTGCTCGTTTGACACTTTTTGCTGATTTGAATTATTTAACAAAAGATTTTGACAATAAATGTTCAAATTTTCATCACTCTGTTAAAGCTTTTTATAAAATTTTACTTGCTTTTCCTGAAATCCATTACATGTGTAAACTAAAGTATTGTCAGGCTTTCTTGAAAATTTTTGCTTTATACCTTTGGACTTCTCTAAATTTAACAAATATTCAACATTTAACTCTTGCCCTAATTATTGCTTCTTCGATTTATGTTTATAATACTTCATAATTTCTAATTCTGTGTCACGTATTGTTTGAAGAGTCTCTTCGTTTTCTATCTTGCATTTCCCTGTATTTTTCTCTGTATTTTACTAGTAATTAATCTTCCCATTGATAACTGTTTCTTTTTTTTATTTTACTACAATGAGTTGCCCATATTCTTATTTTGGATATACATGTGTCCCAAAAAGCTCCTTCTTCAGCATTATCAAAGTTACTTAGTTTAAATGCCATGCCTTAAATATTGATTCAATTCTCAGGATAAATTCCAATCAGTCGTTTATTAAATTTCCAATAACCCGTTTTGATTCCGACATCTTTGTCCGTAAAATGTTCATCTTTTCTTGATGAGTTTTCATTACTAAAACAGTATTGCAGTATTGATACAATACAAAAAATGTGGATCGTCGTCTTAAACCGGGATGGGGAGAACTACAGCAAAGCTTCACGTCGCCCACTGGCGACGTAAAAGGATTTCGCAGCTGAGAGCATCAATGAAGTCACGTGACCTGTCGAAAAACAAGTTCGCAGTGGAAACCAAAGTTCCTCCGCTCCATTCTGCATTTAAGAATCACGTATTATAACTGACACTGT